AGTTTTTCAGTGAGTCCCAGTTTTGCCATCTCAAGTTCTAGATGAGCAGGTCCTGTACTTCCAGTGCTTTTCCTTTGCAAGATTGTCCTGAAGATGGCGACCCCTTTGCCACCAGTAACATCTTCGCAGTCTGTGGTGTTCAGCTTCAGAACAATCCCACATGTGACATACAGCATAATATCTGTTGGGCAGGAGCAGAGACTCAAAGTGGCCCACAGTACCTCAAAGTACTCAATCAATGTCAGCAACACTGTCAAGAATGTGATAGAATGGTTGGTATAGAAGGACCAGAATAAAAAATGGCAGGAGAAGGTGTACCAGAATATCAGGTGTTGATAATTGAGATTAGTGGGTCGTCGGGATCCTAGTGCCCATCTACCTGCAGCTTCTCAGACACCAGGTTGGGAGGTACAGGACAAGAGGTAAATCATGATGTGTAACAGAGACGAGACAGAACAGCAAGGCAGATTGCAGTCAGCTCCTAGCTGGGACAAAAAGGAACATGCAAACCTAACACATTTTTACTAACCTACAAAAAGCCCAGAAGACATGAGGAGGACTCGACAGCTGGCACCCTCTGTATTATTCCAGGGAATCCTGGAAAGATTGACTGAATACGTGCATCTTGGTGCTTGCATGCTGGATGGACTCCTTGCACATATTCGTGCTTGCGAAAATGTGTGTATGGGAGTGTAAGTGAAATCAGTTTTGATTTTGTTTCAAAGTAAAAGAGTCTCCTTTCCTAGGAGGTCACGCATTGCTGCCATGACGTTGCAGCATTATTTCCTACAAGGTGAGCAGGGGTGACACACCATCTGGCAAACGTGGCCCACAGTGAGGAGGAGGTAGGTCAGAGCCTGAAATCTTTCTGCATTAACAAGGAACGTCCTTGGCATAACAGGCACATCCCAGCTGAGCTCTGCACATAAACCCACAGCACCTTCTCTGCACACATAAGAGACAAGGGAAAAGCATAAACAGGATGAAGACCAAAAAATGAGAGAAAGCAGGTGATTTATAAGAATATAGACCCTCAGTTACAGGCCAGCCAGGTAGACGCCTCAAAATGAATCAAATGCTGACTCCTCTGAAGGAGAGATTTTGTCACAAAAGCTGAGTTAGGCCAGACAAACCCCTGGAGCAGGGGAGACAGGATGCTGGGAAATAAGACAGACTGAAAAGGTGACAGCAGAGAAGACAGAGAAAGAGAAAAGTCCTCTGGAGAGCTTCTTCCCTGTCACCTGGAATGACTGAGGTCTCCTGAAGAGAAGGAGCTCTCTACTTTGCAGGAAGGAGGCTGTAAGAGATTGTAAGTGGAAGTAAGTGATGCCAAGTGACTGCCTCATGAATCTCATGTTGAGAGAAGAACAGTGGGAGATCACTTCACCATCAGCACAGAACAGAAAGACACTGTCTCCTGAATTAATAACCTGAATCAACTGTTCTGCTTCTGGAAGCAACAGGAAGATCCAAAATCCAGATACAGCTTGAACTTTTGGAATGTTATTATTTCAGATGAAATTCAAAATCAAAGCAGGCAGGACAGGACATACTCAGAACTGTGCAAACACTGCATGTGTGACTTACCTTCCCCCACATTAAATGCATTTAAAAAAGGCACAGAGCTGATAGTCAGTGTACACCATGAAATAAGACATGAGAATTAGACATAGAGTTCCTTTCCAGATAGGAACAGGGTCCAAAAAAGAAGAAAGAATTGCCTATGCCTTGCATAGGAAACTCACCCAGTCTTTGTATCTCGTTGGAAAAAAGGTTTCACAGGACAGCAAAACTCTGCTCAGGGCCATGTCTAGTGTAGATTTGAATGTCTCCAGGGACGGAGATCCCACAGCCTCACTGGGTCCCTCTTCCAGTGTTTGATCACCCTTTTGCTTAGCTCAGTCTGGAATTCCTGATGTTGCAAATTTGTTTTATCCTACCCCTGTTCAACTCCAAGAGTCTGTCTCTGTCCTCTATACCCTTCCATTAGGTAGCTGTAGACAGCAAGACCTTTGCCTTCTCTTCTACAGGATGAGAAGGTGAAGCTCTCTGCCTTACCTTGTATTCCATGTGCTTCCTGACACTTCCTCACTGCCTTACAGCACTTCGAATTATGACAAGCCTTCTCCAGCATATCAGGTTTGAAGATCTCCTTGCAAGGTTATCCTGCTCTGGCAAAACCATTCTTGTCCCATTTGACGAGGTGGATCCCATTCCTCTCAGCAGTCCTTGTTCCTCAAAGAGGTCCCTGTGGTTGGAGAAGCCAAAGCACTCCCTGTGACACCAGCCACACAGTCAGGTGTTCCTTCCCTTTGTTCCTTTCTCCTTCACCAGCAGGATAAAGAACACCAACCAAGCCCCCATGCCCTCCACCCTCACCTCCCAGAGTCCTCCTGTCACTCTGAATGTGCACAAGGCTGCCTCTAGCAGTATCACCTCACTTGTCTTCTGGACACATTAATGTGGGCCCTCCCACAGACACATACGTGCATGTCTTCAGCTTCCTGTTATTTCTCAAGCACACTACATTTGTGTCTACAGCATCCAGCTTCAAGCACTGTTTCATGGGTGGGCAATAGATAAAACTTGTATACAGCTGATGGACATCAACTGAACCTCCAAGCCATCAACCAACACCCCAGATCCCTTTCTGCAGGGTTGCACTCCAGCCTCTTGTCCCCCATCTCTTGTACGTATAGATATATGTACATCTGGGATTACACTGTCCCAGGAGCAGAATCTGGCATTTGCCCTTGCTAAACTTCATAGGGTTGGTGATTTCCCAGCACTCAAATCTACCAAGAGTTCTCTCTAAGGCCTCTTTACTCTCAAGGGACTCAACATCTCATCCTAATTTAGTATCATCAGCAAACTTTCCTAACATGCACTCAACTCCTGTGTCCAATATTCAAGAGAACTGGCCCTAAAACAAAAAAAAGCCCTGAGGAACACCACTAGTGACTGGGCACCAGCCTGATGTTACCCCATTGACTACAACTCTTTAAGCCTGACCCTTCAGCCAGTTCTTGACCAAAGGAAGTAGAGGACAGAGCCACACCACAGTCTTGAGCTGCAGCCATTTCTACAGCACTGCCCTTGTCTGTAGATAGCAGCAGGGAGTATCCTCAAGAGTCAAAACAGGGCAATAAACATCCAGGCAGGCATGTTGTGTATTACTCTTTCAAGTTTGGGCTGAAACATTTATGAATCAGAGCTTGTTAGTTAGGGTTCTCTGCTGCCTCAGTTTATAAGTCAGGTTTACATAATACAATTCTTTCCAACTCAAACCATTTCATTGGTCTCTCGGTGTAGAAACTTCTGTTTGTGAGAAAATGAGGCAAAATCGCTTCTTAATCCTGCTGTATCGCAGAACACCACCCTTGCTGTCTCTCACTCCTCTTTCTTTTTGGAAG